TGTTACCTAGGGTTGTGCTGAGCTAGATGATGAATCACCCCAAGTAGCTTAGCACCATGTAATCCTAGACTAGGATCAACCAACCATCTGAGTGTTGTAGTTAAATTTATAGCATCTTCACCTAAAATAAGTAAGACTTAATAGTGAATTTGTGTCTTTTAAGAGAAAAATAAGTGGGATAACTACAGCCCTATGGGCGATAATAGAAGTATTTTAGGCATATATTACAGTTAATAACCAGCTCTATATTTTACATCTGACTCTGTATAGACTATAGCGGGTTTTGATAACAAAAAAATTCACACAACATTGGATTCTACAGTCAAATTAGTACTAAATATAGTAGATTTATACTGCAATTTCAATTATGTAGTTAATGATAAATGAAAAAATATTAAAAATCGTACCTGTAAATCGACCTTTTGCTCTATGCAACCTTCTCATTGGAACAATGTTAACAAAATTACAGTGATTGATATCAAGTTATTGCTTTACCTGTTAAACTGATACTGCGTGATATCCTTGTCATGGCAAGATAAAATGTAGGCCCTATAAAGTTTATCTATTTCGAACTCTTACACGTGGATTCATATTACATGGATAAATTTATAGCATCTTCACCTAAAATAGGTAGGAACTGAGTGAGGAAGAGGCTTTAACCAGCTGTACAGATCCATTTGAGTAATGAGAAATAAATCACTCTCATAATATTAAAGAGTTTAGCAAAAGAGGACCAAGAGCACTTCTTAAAATATTTCTGGGAGATTACTGCTTGTAATGGATGGAATGAGTAATAGGTTTTTCAGTGCAATCTATTGGTCTGAGTTCAAGACTCAGAAGAGAATCATTGCAGAAGGACTGTCTGTCTAAGTTGATTATCTGTGCTGATTGCAAAAGAAAGCATACCTGACAATGGCCTTTGCTAATTGGGGAGATACCCTAGTCAATAAGTTTATTGAGTGAATCCCCAGTGAGCATATGTAACAACATTTGGGTGTGAGAGAATCCTCACATTTACAGAAGTAGTGCCCATAATGATATGCTCTGAAGTGGTCACTTTAAACTGACCATTGAAGAGGAAGAAGCCTGCAGTGGCAATCATGCCAGTGATGGTGCTACTCTGGTATCTTCAGCACATTGTACTTTGTCCAACCAATGGCTAACAATCAGGCAACCACAAATTTTGGCACTGTGATGTAGCCACACTGGTCTTCAGTGAAAGGGCAGGACTATGTAGGTATATGATGTATGCACAGCAGCAAGGGTACATACTGTTGCATGATCTACCCATGGGATACATGCTGCAGACAAATTTAATGCCTCTTCCTGGACATTGTCCAGAACGGGAAGAGCAAAAAAGTTTCTGCTTTGATTGTGGAGTAGTGGAACAATGGTAGAGGAAATGTCCATACTTTGTCAAGCAAGAAAGATTGCAGAGCTATCAGTTTCACCTGATGGTTCAGCAGATGCCAGCCTACACACACAGTTAGTATTTTGGCAAGGAGCTAAGTAGGCAAGGCTATCAGTACTGGCTATCAGATCAGTAGGTCCAGGAAGACCAGCAACAAGTGGATGATGCTATTGCAAATGCTTCAGAAAAACTGATGAAGCCCAAGTCCATTTTTGTAACTGGCTTGGGAGAGCATAGCAAATTACTTCCACCACACATTCCAACCATGTCAGAGCTGGGTGTGGTTCAGTATGTGCCAATATGGGTGTAAGGACCCTGGTCAATGGATACCTACTTCATTCTTGTGAATGGTGGTAGATTATACATTAGAGGTAAGATGGATCTCTGGCTCAGTCTAGGAGGTGTTGCCTACAGAAAAAAAAGTATATCAAGCCTAAGAACAGGACTACATGAGTGCATATGGTGAAGGGAATAATAGTACCTTCATGTACACAAGTGGTATATCATGGTTTAATCCAGATGCAGTTGAATATATTGGTGCTGGTTAATGCAGTTATAGCACCCCTGCATTAAATTTTCCTCTCCAGAAAGCACACAGCGCTGGTCATTTGTCCAAAAAGGGACAACATCCCTATGCTTCTTTGCACTATGGATGATGGAATGGTTGATAGTATGGTGAGTGAAGTGAAAATAACTGACATTAGTGGTAACTATAGGGATAACATTAGCATTACTAATTTCCATATCACATTACACTGTTCCAAATGGAAATATGAGGCTACTGACACACCTGATGTCATTGGTTGATAATGTTTGTAACAGTATAGACCCAATTCATTGACTTGTTGGTGAATATGTATTTTTGGGAACAGATGACCCATTAAATTGAACAACACTGACTCAGTAATGTATAGACATAGGCACATCCAATAAAATAACCATCATGCTGGTGCTCTTGGAGCACAAGGGAGATTGTAAGTGCTGAAATACAAGATGTTGAAAGATGGAGTCATGCAATCTTTGGAGAGTGTTTGATCGTTGGGAAGGAGGTAGGTATGCCTAGGTTCTGTGTTAATTGTAGATGGGTGAATATAGTAACTCACAATGACATCTTTCTTTTACTGCAAGCAGATGAATGTCGTGAGAAACTAGAAAGCTCCTATTCATTCAGCATGCTGAATCTAGTATTTTGATACTGTCAAGTTGAGCTGGATGATGAAAACATGATTAAGACTGATTTTAGCACAAGAAATAAATTATTTGTCACGACATTTGGTCTGTGTAATGTATCACATACTTTAGAGAGGCTGGTGGAGCTTATACTCAAGGGACTGCAATGGGAGAGATGTCTGGTCTACGTCAACGATGTTTTAATATTTGGTTGCACTTTTGAGCCTGTGTCTGAGAAGCGGAAGATAGTATTTCAGCAAATAGGGAAAGCAAGTTTAAAATTGAAACTGAAAAATATTCCCTCGTGTGAAAAATGAAGGTGTTTCTTAGTCACATTGTAGGGAGAAATGAAGTGTTCATGGACCTGGCTAAGATAACTGCATGAGAGATTGGTCTTGACCCATTATGAGGCAATAATCCACAGTTCCTTTGGTATCATCATATATTATCAACTATTTAAGGCCAACTTCTCAAAGATAGCAGCACTATTATTATCTCTCATTAAAGTGGAAGTGCACTTTTAATAGAGTGAGGAATGTGATTAGGAATTCCAATCCCTAAAGCTTGCTATTGGGGGGGGGGGATGCTCCAGTGCTGCTCTATCTATGCTAAAACTAAGAGTTTCTCTTGAACACCAATGACAGTGACAATGGAGTCAGAGGAGCATTATTGCATTTGTAGGGTGGAGTGGAATGTATAATCACATATGCTAGCTTTACACCTATGGCTCCTGAAGGCAGTTACTGTATGACAAATAAACAGCTGTTTTCGGTGGTTTTCTTCATAAAATATTACTACCACTATTGTATGGTAGAAAGTTTACCATCCAAGTGATTTATGTTTTGCTGAAGTGGTTAATAAACCAAGAGGAGATGCTAGCACATTTGATAATGGCATTTGTACGAATGTTACTTTGTCATAGTTTATCATCCAGCCATGCGACACACAAAGGTGTTCATTCGTGGACTATTATGATCCTGTACACCATGCGGTAGGAAGAAGCCATGATTGTTTCTGCCACAGAAAGTAAAATTATGAACTAAAAGACTAACATTGGGTGCATGCATTTTAGGAGCTCTGGGATGAGTAACTTAAGAATCCTAACTTAGCATAGGTATTCCTTGTTGTTCAGCAAGATTAAGCCTGACCTGCAATAGAAATAGAGTATAGAACAGATTCGTGTACCCTATTGCACCTTTACAAATATTTACAAGTGAAAGAAAGTGTGCTATACTTTTGCTATTAACCTATGATGTGTGTTGCTTTGAGAGTGCTACAGCTAGTGGTACCTGAATTCTGTGACAAAAAAACGCTCTGGACTTTGCACAACACAAAGACTGGAGTGCACTAATACTAATGTTCAAAAGTGGTTCATATGGGTCATATCTGCTGTTGTTAGTTGACCCAACTATTTGATGCTTGCAATTAAATCAGTTCACATGCAAATACCATATATTTATATACTACAAACTCCCTTTAAGGTACACCAAAAAGGAAGTTAAACACATTAAAGTGAAAATTCTGGAAGTTAAACTAAAGTCGCACAATATCAAATTTTCCAAAATCTTGAATAAATCCGCATAATAGGTAAAAGTCTGGCCTTAAATACTAAACTACAATAACATCAATATAGCCAGGTTACTCACGGCATGCACCACATGCAAGTGACTTTAATTCAGTCAGGCCTCCTGGTCATTACATCATTTATTCGTAGAGAAAAAAAAAGCTATCTATTTAGAGACCTCACAAGTACATTCTCAATTATCTTTCATGAAAGATAACACGTTTAATGAGAATTAATGGATACTTTCCCGTATGCAGTTATAGTGGGTAAAGTTTAGTTATTTATTTAAGCGACTTTTACGTCCAAACTGAGCACAAAAGAAACATTTACATATTAAATGCAGAGATGGCAAAAGTAAAGAACATCCTATCCCAAACATAGTATATTTTGTTTATTTTTATTTGCTATCTTTAGAAGCTGCTTCCTGCCTCCCTTTATTACCTTCAATTTGTACTCTTGTATTAGAAAAGAAAGAAATATCCTAAGCTAATTAATGATTTTTCATAGATTGATGTTCAACTGTTTTTCGTAAATTTGTTTATTGGAGAAATTACCCATAATGGCTTTACAGCCCGTGTCGATGAGAAATTGTGGAATTTGTATATAGCTTTGTAACCTGTGACGTTGAAAGACCTTCGAAAAAGACGTAAGCCTAAACGTCGACTGGAGTAATAATAATTTTGAAGTTGTTTGTCGTCTTCCTTGGAAATATAGAATGAAGAGATTACTTTTTATGTTTACTGACATAGCTTTGAAAAATATAACACTATAATCTTACAGTTACAACGAAAAAACAATATTTTTTTTTATACATTTTGAGCGCTGCTAGCTAGAGTACCAAGTAATAAACAGACAGAGATAGTGTTTTCCTTACATGGTGTATCAAGGTCGTCGCGAGAACGAGGCTGAGCATTTTGACGAGTAAACAAAGCAGATTTTCTTCATTCATCCCACCCCTAACTACAGCTATTAAATAAGTCATCAGGCGGTTGAATATAGAGATCCACACACAAAAATAACTTATCAAACCTCACTCCTTCCAAAGGTAAGGCTTAATAGTGAATTTGTGTCTTTTAAGAGAAAAATAAGTGGGATAACTACAGCCCTATGGGCGATAATAGAAGTATTTTAGGCATATATTACAGTTAATAACTAGCTCTATATTTTACATCTGACTCTGTATAGACTATAGCGGGTTTCGATGATTTTTTAAATAACGAAAATAACAAAAAAAATTCACACAACATTGGATTCTACAGTCAAATTAGTACTAAATATAGTAGATTTATACTGCAAGTTCAATTATGTAGTTAATGACAAATGAAAAACAATTAAAAATCGTACCTGTAAATCGACCTTTTGCTCTATGCAACCTTCTCATTGGAACAATGCTAACAAAATTACAGTGATTGATATCAAGTTATTGCTTTACCTGTTAAACTGATACTGCGTGATATCCTTGTCATGGCAAGATAAAGTGTAGGCCCTATAAAGTCTATCCATTTCGAACTCATACACATGGATTCATATTATATGGATAAATGCAAAGAAAATTGGCAATAACCAAATGTTAATAATGAAGTATGAGCTTAGCTATGTACCTATGAAAGTATAGGAGAGATTTTGTAATCACATTGGTTGTAAATTTGAAATGCCATGATTGACAGATATGTACCAGTAGTAACCTCTACCTGTTCTACATCATGTCATGATGTAAATGATACATCGTTGATACCACATTTATCATAGACTATTGTAGCAAATGAAATTGGGTCAAATTAAAGTTTTCCTAGATTTTATTACCAGTGTATCTAGCATTTTTTCTTTCTTAAATTATTGTAGCACATATTCTTTCACTCTGGCCACATCCAATAATATGACTTATGTCAAACTTTTGTCAGGATAAAATATTGTCCGTTTACGCCCAATGATATGATGCAACACAACTTGTTGCTAAGCCTATGTGTAGTCTTTTTTTCATTTCTCATTCAATATTTTGTGACATGCTGTTGGTTCGATTTGGGCAGACACATCTATGTATCACTTTATGCATTATGTAATCCACACCACAAAGTTTATTGTATGGCTTTGTTTCTACAAATTCAATGGCTAAAAAAGAATTTTAAATGGTTTGAAGTTTTGTTTGTGTGTTTTGAAATAGTAAATGCTTCTGGATTCAATGAAACTACCTAGACCAAAGTTGAGCATGAAGAGAGCTATCAGTTGATGTATCACTGATCTTTATTGGTCCAGACAATTTGAACTGACACCCTGGTCTCTGCTAAATGTTTCTTGTCGTGTCTCTGTACGTGGTGAAATATGTTTCAAATGTATATATTTTTTAACTATTTGCAGCATAATGGCTTTAAGAGGCTCCACTTCTCGGCATTGTTATGCAGTTGGGTGTACAAATGGAGACTACAGACTTCTCAAGTGGAAACAGAAAATGTGTGAGGTTCACAAAGCGGAACACGACTCAACACTCTGTAATTGCTCACCCCCATTCATGTGAGTATTTGTATATTTTACTAATTTTCAAACAATGTGCAATTCAATTGGCAATGTTTTATTATAATTTTACTGAAAGATGAAATGGTTTAAATATCTTTTGTTTCATATTTACTTCTAGTTTTGCTGATATTTGCTTCATGTACAGGGAGAATATTAAAAACTTGTATATTATTTCACTTTCATTTTGCTTAAAGTTGTGCTGGTTTCAATACTTGTTTTGTTATATTTTACAGGTTGTTCACTTTTCCTACAGAAAAGAAGAATCCTGAGGGTAGGAAACTCTGGATAAAGGCACTTTGCCGGGCAACATCAAAGCAGAATCCAAGCTATCTGGAACCCAAAAGAGACCACAGGGTCTGCTCTGAACATTTTGTGGATGGAAGGCCCTCAGATGCTCACCCCTACCCAGAGCTCAACCTGGGATATGACATTAAGAAACGTGTATCTGTCGAAGAGACTGAAAGAGGTGCTCGATACCAGAAAAGGGCTAATTTGGGCAGTAGTGTCAGTGACAATTTACTTGAAGAACCTGAAGACCAAGCCAGCTCCAATTGTACTAGTACAAAATTTAATAGTCTCAATGAAAACTCTACCTATATAGCATGTACATTTATTTTGTTCTTACTTTTTCTTTGATTAAGAAACTTAGGAAAGACCGTGACTTTCTTAAGATGGAAAATAAAAACTTTAAGCAAGGCCCAATGTGAAAAACAGTAACAAACAAAACTAGTTCATATGCACATGATTTAACAAACAATGAAGACGTAAAAATTTGCTCAAGCATATAGAAATACTGAATGTGTTCAATAGGTTACACCAGCTTATTGCACCTTATGTGAAAATAAGATGAAAAGGGATTAAATATCTAAACACCAAAGTTAGAAAATTTTCAAATAGCCCCAAAAAAATTCATCCCATGATGTGTGAGTGCCTGTATTGACCAGTAATCTGGTATTGTGGCAGATTATTGTTTGTAGTCTGATGACGATAATGCCCTTTGTTATTTATGGGTATTAACAATTTGCTCCAGAATGAAAATAAAATGCATTAAAATAAAACATTGGAGCTAAACATTCTGTTAGGTTGCTTTGTAACTTCCATTATAACACATAAAACTATAGAAATGTACTTATCATAAAGAGTATTGAAATTTTGATTCTCTGAAACATGTAACATATATAAAAACATATATACAACTAATTAATATTACATAATGAAACTGAAATTTTGAAATACTGTCTAATTAAAACCTTGTTATAACTAATCATTTTTCAGGTGAATACAATATTATAAGCTCTAATTTGTGTGTTTGTTGGAGGTAGGACTAATTACAAGCTTCAAATAAGATATAAGGAGAAAAATATGGAAGTGATGAAAGACTTCAGTATAGAAATAAAACCCTTTATTGATGAGGAGAATGCTTTGTTGGATGTTAAGGAAACATCAATTAGTAAAATGTTACGTGGTAGTAAGTTCAATATTTAAAATTTCAATCGTTTATGTAACTTGGAATAAATCTGCTCCAAAGATTTCCCATATTGTACTGATTGGCAGTTAAGTTATAATATTATCATATGTATTACTATGAATTAGTGACATGGAACAAATGATTAATACTTATACAGAACTAATATTTTTTTATGCTTCTTATTGACATTTTTATTTAATGTTTTGCTGTAAGATGTTGCCATTATATGGTTTGTAACATCTGTCATTTGTCCATCATGAGAAGTATTGTTTCTGGTGAGCAGCCATAATTTATTTCATGAAGTGAATATTTAATTAAACACAAAAGTTCATGATTAAAGAACATGTCGAATATGTTGAGTTAACCAACAGTGAAATATTTTTGAAAAAATTCCATTATAGCTGTTATATGATTTGTATAGCTGGTTATAATCATAGTATATAATTGTTGTTTGTTCTTTAAATTCTAAAAGTTGTATGACTGCCCCACATCGTTAACTTACAATTAAGTATCACACAGCAAAAAGTATAATACAAGTGTAGAACAAGGGCAAAAGTTTGTGCGACTAGCTAGAAAGATAGAAAGAAAAAAGTGAAGAGAAACCTTTTTTGGTTTTCTCTCACTCCTCTAGTGTAAGCCCCCTGTAGGGTAATATAAAAAAGTGAACCTACAAGCTAAAAGTTAAGTAAGACAAGGAAATCCTTTATGTTACCTTTAAGTTAAGTTAAACTTATTAAAATCACTTTAATATATGTAACAAAAACCTTTCAAAATCTAAATAAGTGTATAATTTTACCAAACTTTTTGATAGACAGCCAAAAGCCTGACTTTTAACACAAAAAAATATACATAGAACTATTCAAATATTTTTGGTAAAATCATAAAATTGTTGGTAGCTATCTAAATTAAACCTAAGACATAAACTTTGTCATGTTTTGCTCATGTGATATTCAACTTTCACAGAAGGTAAAAGTCAAACGATACTCCAAAAGTTATTGTTTAAAGCTAACAAAAGACTCCTATCAGTAAATGGAAAGACTTTTATAAAGTTTTTCTTTCAATGGCATTTTGTTTTGCCGTTATACTAGACATATCATAACATGCCATATCATTATACTAGACATATCATAACTAGACATATCATTATACTAGACATATCATAACATGCCATATCATTATACTAGACATATCATAACTAGACATATCATTATACTAGACATATCATAACATGCCATATCATTATACTAGACATATCATAA